CCAAGGTAGAGGACTAGGCTCCAAGTGGTTGGACCGAACCTCTATAAAATCATTGTGCAAGCTCTTCTTCTCAACTCTCTCTTTAATTTTTGTTTGGTGGTTGCAAAGAGGTGAAAATTCTCCAACTCCAATTCACCCCCCTTTTGGAGTGCATTGAGTCAACAGAAGATAGTTGAGACTCATCATCACATTGCTTAAAAGACCCATCTAATTGAGAGGGATTCTTCCAACCAATCTTCGACTTCATCATTGACATATCTAAGAGTTTGTATCAAGATTTGTGTTTTGTAATGAAAGCTTGTAAGCACTTTGAATGCAACTTTGTAATGCTTGCTAACTTTGTTTAAAGTGCATTTCTTTAGTTAATGAAAAGTCATGTTCTAGTACAACTTAATGTAGAACAGGAAAATATCTTTGCACAAGATGGGAATGCCAGTGTGAGAATCCATATGGAATTTCAAAAGGAAACCAATGGTCCAATCAAAAGGGGCCAAAGTCTCTTTAGTTTTCTAATTTTTTCCTTTTATCTTTACATTTTTGTTTGTAGGTAAAAATTCTTTAATCATAGCTCCAAAGCGAAAGATCTTCAAAAAGCGACGTTCTCCGTATTTGCTCAGATCTAGAGCCATGTCCAAAGAAAATACTGCTACTAATTCGGAAAAATCAACTGTTGATGAAAGGGTTGATAAACTAGAGGCTACAATGCAAGCTATGGCTACGACTCTTCAAGCCATCAGTCTCACTTTGTCAAATCTGACCACTAGTTTTGTTTCTTCATCTGCAGCCTTGGTGCCTACAACGCCTGCCTCATCTGTTCTTATTCCATCATCTACCATTGCACTGGGTGATCGTGCTAAGGCTCCTATGGTCACACACTTACAGTTTCCTCCTATTTATGAGAACCAACCTTTAGTGGGGGAGTCATCTTCACATGCACCACAAATGTCACCTGTACTTGTGGAAACCTCACACCTACCACTCAAGATGAACAACCCTATCTTGCCCACAACTACACCCCTTACCTTTAACATGCCACCTGTGATGGGACAAGTGCCAGCTACTCAACCCACCCCCTCGGTTGAGATGATGAGGCCTGTTTTAGAGGACAGGAGCTCAAGGGAGGTAGATCACAAGTTGCAACAATTAGAGGAGGCTTTGAAGGCGATGCAAGGGCCACAGTCTTATGGTTCTATTGATTTAGATGATCTCTGCTACTATCCAGGAATCCGGACAAATTTCAAGTTCAAACAACCGGATTTTGAGGCTCAGGTTGTCCTTATGCTCACTTGCAGATGTACACCAAGAAAATGTCACCTTATGCTAATGATGAGAAGGTGCTCATTCATTACTTTCAAGACAGTCTGTCAGGTCTAGCAAGTATTTGGTTTTCCATTCTTGACAAAAAGAAGATTCGCACTTTCAAGGATGTGTCTCAAGCTTTCATGAAGCAGTATGAGTATAATATCAGTCTAGCTCCTACAAGGGATAGCTTGTAGAGAGTCACCAAGAAGGGCAATGAGACTTTCAAGGAGTTTGCTCAACAATGGAGATCTGAAGCAGCTAAAGTCATCCCACCTCTCACTGACAGTGAAATCTGCTCTCTCTTTCTCAAGTCGACTACCGAGACCTTCCGTGCATGGTTAGCTCCTTGTGTAGGATACACTTTTGCTCAGCTAGTGACAGCAGATGAACAAATTGAAGATGGACTTAAGATGGGCATAATTATGGACTTTCAAGCCATCCAGAAATAGTTAGAACAAGTCAAAATGGGCAGTGCAGGATCTACCTTAAAGAAGTTTACACCCGAAGGAAAGAAAGAAGATGAAGAAGCTTTCAATCATATTTCCACTTGTCATGCAAAACCAGTTTATAATGTGGCAAAGATTCCTTATAATCGGCAGCCTCAATTGCAATACGCTCCAGCCTTTAAGCCTACCACCCATCCTCAGAGGAGACCAAACTTTAATACTCAAGCTCCGACTAGGCAACAATTCCCATCGACTAATAGGCCAAGGCAATTCACCAAGCTTCCAATCCCTTACAATGAGGTGTTGAAACAATTGGTGGCAGTGGGTTTGGTGGAAACATTGTAAACATACCCTATTCGACCACCTTATCCACATTGGTATGATCAGCAAGCTAAATGTGAATATCACAATGTAGTGGGTCATAGTACTGAACATTGTACAGCTTTGAAGCATAAAATTCAAGATCTCATTGATGAGGGTAAACTTTAGCTTAAAGCTAAGGAAGCTGAGAGCACTCCGAACATCACTCAAAATCCTTTACCCCCTCATGATGCAGGCACAATGAATATGGTCGCCCTTGATGAAGTTGAAAAGCCCGTGTTGGATAATGCCAATTTTTGGTCTTTTGATGAATTTTTTGCCATTTTGACAAAGTATGATTTGATTCAACCGATTGCGCAAATGAGTTTGAATGTTTCACCTACGATGATTGATGATACCTTGGTGTGTCCTTACCACTCCAATACAAAGGGGCATACTTTGCAAGATTGTGAAGATTTTCAGAAAAGGGTTAAGGAGTTGCAAGCAATGAGATCTTTGAAGTTTATGTCTGCTCAAGAGTCAGAAAAATGCATTGCACAGTTTGAGGAAGTGGCGGTGGATGATATCACTGATGAAATCTGTTCTGATGATGAGGAAGACTATTTTGGCTTCAACAACCTCTTTGGGCCAACCAACATGACAGATCCTAAGGAGAGGTGGAGGAGAATGCTCGCTGAAAAGGCGTTCATGGAGGGGCACCCCAACTTCCATCTTGTTCATCATGCGAAAGCACCAGTGGGTTCACATGAGTCTATGCTTCTTGGAACAAGGGAAGAAGAATCATTATGTGACTCATGGAGAAATTTGACTATAAATGCTTTAGATGAGGAGGAATTGGAATTTGATATGGGAGTTTCACTAGTCAATGGAAGCTTTCGGGCTAATTGGATAGCAAAACTTTTCCCTGCAGCTTTCATCTCTGAGTAAAAGGAGTCAGCCTCTAGTAGTTTTGCTTGTGACTATGTGAAGGGAGGGATTCCACAAGCACCTTTATATTTTCTGAAATTTATGTTATCATGCTTCTAGTATTCCCATGTCCTTTTCAATGAAATATGTTGCAATCCTATCTATCATTGTAAACATCATCATGATGCAACTTTACTTGAACTTTTATTATACAAACCACTCTTTAATGATATATTTCATGAGGTTATCCAATAACATGTTCTTATCTTTGCTTTATTATCATGTGGCCATTTATTTACTTCCATATAAATTTTCAGGCCTGTTAATGATGAATCTTCAAACAGTGATGCTATGTCAGACTTTATAAATGAGATGGTTGATCAGACCTATAATGAAGAAGACAATGAAAGTCTTGATCCTTCTCATGAACTAACTCAAATGTTAAGAAAGGAAGAACCAAAGCCGCAACCAAATCAAGAGACAGAAACCATTAATTAGGGTGCTGAAGATGACAAAAAGGAGATAAAAATCAATACTCAAAGGAGAGAAAAAGAGTTGATAGTCTCAACTTGTTTGATGAGAAAAGATTGGCAACTCTTTGTCATGGCCAATGTTATCAGCAACGAATGGCAACAACTTACAACAAGAAGGTCAGACCTAGAGTATTTCATTAAGGAGATCCTGTCTTAAGGAAGATCATACTAAATGAAAGGGAACCTAGGGGCAAATTTGCACTAAATTATAAAGGGCCCTATGTTGTTAAAGAAGCTTTCTTTGGAGGAACACTCTTGTTGAGATATCCAAATGGAAATGATTATCATCATCCAGTGAATGCCAATATTATAAAAAAAAAAAGAAGAAAGTTAGGTCAAAACCAAGAAGGGGAGCCTAACAAGTTAAATGCTTCCTTGACTTAGAAAGTGGAAATCCAATGATGAAAGGCATTGTTTCTCTATCCCAAACAGTTAACATTGTCCTTTGCTTACCCTTTTTTTTGAGCTAGAAAAAGGCAATCATCCAAATTCAAAAAAAGCCAAGATGATTTTCTTTTGTTAACCCACATTAATGACAGGGGAAGTGAGGAGAGGAATGTGAGGGGAATATATGGATTTTGAGCCTTTATCCTTTCTTTCATCATACCCTAACCCAAGCCATGTTACAAGCCTATGAAAAGTCCTTATTGGAGGATTTAAAGCTTTCTATGTCAAGGGGCATACATTAACAAAAAAAAAAAAAAAGAAAAAGAAAAGAGAGAGAGAGACATCAAAGCTCCAGGCATTGACAGTGGGAAACTTCCTTCTTTTGAGCACAAGAGTTAGTTCATGAAAAGGGGAAAGATTTGAAGTGTCAACATTCAGAAAAGGAATGAAATTCTCTCTCATGGACTAAAGGACTAATGGACAGAGTTGTAAAAGAAATGATGATTTGAAGCAATGATTTATGGTCTTAATATCTTATAACCCATTACATCAAAATCTTGTGTTACTAGCTAGACTTCTTTTTGTCACTAAAAGAAGTTGATCATTTGATTATCCAGCCCTTTTCTTGAATCTAGTGGAATCAATCTTTGCTATTATTCTGTTCGCATACTCCAACCTTGCCTTTTATTCAGTATTGGGAATATTAGTTGACTATGATACATTCATTTCAGTTAATATAATTGTCTATTTGATCAAAATCTCTTGATGAATTTGAAAGGTTGGATGAGGATTACAGGGAGAAAGGAAGCCCAATTCGATAGCTAAGGAGTCATCCATGCTAGCTGAAACTCTAATAGCAAATGAAAGTTCAACTTATTGGGGCAATATTTTCAAATATCTCCTCATGGGAAACAAATAGGATTCTACCTCTTGCATTCAATAGGGCATTCGTGAATGTGAATCTTTTGAGCTGCTACATAGAGATAATCACTGATCAATGAATGTGCAACATGAAAGACACATGACTCTTGTCAAATAGGGACATCCAATATGTTCAGGGAAGTTTCTTAACCTCTCTTCATACGACCTTATCTTATATATGAAGTTTGTCTCACTTACATATGTTTCATGGCTGCAGATCTTTCAATCATTACTTTCATCCAGCCTTTTGGTTGCATTTACACTCATTAGGCCCCCATACTGATACTTTACTTCTTCCTGTCATTCCACCATACTGATACTCTACTTCTTCTGGTCATTCAACCATACTGATACTCTGCTTCTTCCGGTCATTTGACCATACTAATACTTTACTTTTTCGGTCATTCGATCATACTCATACTCTACTTTTTTCGGTCACTCAACTATATTGATACTCTACTTTTTCGGTCATTTGACCATACTGATACTCTACCTAACTTGGTCGGTTATAAAACCGTTTCAACTCAAACTTGCTCGGTCATTTGACCGTAGCTACTCAACTTGCTCAGTCATTTGACCGTGGCTACTCAACCTGCTCGATCGTTTGATCATTGCAACTCAGCTTACTCGGTTATAAAACCGTTTCTACTCATACTCTACTTTCTTGGTCATTCGACCATACTTATACTCTACTTTTTTGGGTCACTCGACCATACTGATACTCTACTTTCTTGGTCATTCGACCATACTCATACTCTACTTTTTTGGGTCACTCGACCATACTGATACTCTGCTTTCTCGGTCATTTGACCATACTGATACTCTGCTTTCTCGGTCATTCAACCATACTCATACTCTACTTTTTTGGTCATTCGACCATACTCATACTCTACTCCTTCCAGTCATTCGACCATCCTCATACTCTATTGGCTCGGTCGTTTGACCGTAACTACTCAATTGGCTCGATCGTTTGACCGTAGCTACCCAACTTGCTTGGTCGTTTGATCGTTGCAAGTCATCTAAAATCAACTCATTTAAGATCAACTCACTTAAGATCAACTCACTTAAGATCAACTCACTTAAGATCAACTCATTGAAAATCAAATCATTTAAGATCAACTTGTTCGGTCATTCGACCGTTACGGTTTCATAATCGTTTTTACTTTGCTTGTTCTGTCAAACGACTGTTGCGGTTTCTTAACCGTTTTTACTTTACTTGTTCCGGTCATTCGATCGTTGTAGTGTCTTAACCGTTTTTACTTTACTTGTTTCGATTATTCGACCATTATGGTGTCTTAACCGTTTTTACTTTACTTGTTCGGTCATTCGACCGTTGCGATTTCTTAACCGTTGTTACTTTACTTGTTTGGTCATTCGACCGTTGCGGTTATAAAATGCTTTTACTTTCCTTGTTCAGTTATTTGACCGTTGTGGTTATAAAACCAATTTTACTTTGCTTGTTCGGTCATTCGACCATTGCGGTTATAAAACCGTCTTCTCTCATTCGTTCGGTCAATCCGATCGTTGCGGCTTTTTAGCCGTTTTATCTCATTCGTTCGGTCAATCCGATCGTTGCGGCTTTTTAGCCGTTTTATCTCATTCGTTCGGTCTATTCGATCGTTGCGGTTTCTTAACCGTTTTATCTCATTCGTTCGGTTTAACCCAATCGTTGCGGCTTTTTAGCCGTTTTATCTCATTCGTTCGGTCAACATGATCGTTGCGGCTTTTTAGCTGTTTTATCTCATTCGTTTGGTCAATCCGATTGTTACGATTTTTTAGCTGTTTTATCTCATTTGTTCGGTCAATCCGATCGTTGCGGTTTCTTAGCCGTTTTCTCTCATTTGTTCGGTTAATCCGATTGTTGCAGTTTTTTAACCATTCTCTCTCATTCGTTTGGTTAATCCGATCGTTGCAGTTTTCTAACCGTCTTCTCTCATTCGTTCGGTCAATCCGATCGTTGCAGCTTTTTAGTCATTTTATCTCATTTGTTCGGTTAGTCCAATTGTTGCAGTTTTCTAACCATCTTCTCTCATTCATTCGGTCAATCCGATCGTTGTGGCTTTCTAGTCTTTTCATCTCATTCGTTCGGTTAATTCGATCGTTACAGTTTTCTAACCATTTTATCTCACTCATTCGATCAATCCGATCATTGTGTTTCCTAACCGTTTTTACTTTACTAATTTGGTCATCTAACCATTGTTGTCTATAAAAAAAAAAAAAAAAAAAAAAAGGGAGAGAGAGAAGAAGAAGAAAAAGTTGAAAATTTGAGTTATTCTTGTCTTTTCTTTTCATTCTTAGCAGAAAGAAAAGAAAAGAGGGGTAACTATCATAACTCAAATTTTTATCAAAAATATAAAAATATGAAATTTCCCTTTTCTTTGACTAATATATCTTTATTTTGTTTCAGGTGCTACATGCAAAAAGAAATTGGAAAATTCAAGAAGAAGAAAGAAGGGATTCAATTGAAGAAATTAAAAGTTGGAGGGGTGAAGTTCATCAAAATGAATTTTACAAACCCAAAACCCATCAAACCCAAACCAAGATTACCCAAAAAACCCAAACCCAAAACCCGTTTAACCCTAACCCAAAAACAAAAAAAAAAAAAGAAGGTGTCTGGAACCTTCTCTTTCCCCATCAATTTGTTTTTTTTCCCGAACCAGCCCGTGCCCTGCACCTCGTGCCTCTGCCCCTGCACCTGCCCTGCACCAGATCCCGGCCTTGCTCTGCATCGAGCCCTGCGTCCTTGCCCTTGATCCCTTGCTTGCTGTGCCTGCACGTTTCTGCTCCTGCACTCCGCGCCCAACGCCTGCACTTTCCCTTTTGCGCCCCTGCGCCCCTTACTGCACCGAGCCTGCACCCCGATCACACCCAGATTCCCTTGCTCTGCGCCCCCTGCTGCGTTGACCCTCCTGCTGCGCCTTTGTCCCTACAGCCAACCGAGCATGAGACAAACCTGCACCATGTCCTTGCCTTGCCTGCAGGATGACATCACGCTCCAGCTTTCTTGGCTGTTTCGCAGGGCTAGTTTTGGCCTCACCCGATCAACGGTGGAAGGAAAAAGAAGAAAAATTGAAGGGTTTGGATGAGGAGAGAAGAAGGGAGTTAAGGTTTTGTTTGATTGTGTATAAATAGGAAGAATTGGTGAATTGGAAGGGGGGGTTCTCTTTTGGTTGGGGGTTTCTCTTTTGGAGGGTTTTTCTTTTCGGAAGAGTTTTCTTGGTTGTTCTTTTTGGTCTGAGTTTGAGATTGCCGGAGGTGATAGCAAGAGAAAGGAGATCATCGGAGGAGATTGTGCATTTCCTTGGTTTTTGTTGTCTTAGGTAAACTTTCTGATCAGAGGAAGTTTTGGGGAGGGTGGTGAAGGAAAGGTTGGAGCTTTATCTCGTGGGTGGGATCCCTCCCTCCGATCCTGATCTGTTTTCTCTCAAGACTTTCGCCATGGTTGTTTTAATTTCTTTGTGTTGATGTACTGCATTTGTATTTGAGGTTGATATCGAGAATGAAATCAAGCATTTTCCTTTTAATTTCATGGATCTGAAATCAATTGGATGTATGTTTGTTTTTCTTTGTTTGTCTTGGTTGAACAGCTGAATAGTAGCCTTAAGTTCCATTTCGTTTCTTTCCAGTTTCCCTTTTTGTTTGACATTTGATCTTTTTTTTTTGGGGGCACATTGATTAAATGTGTTGTTTGCTGGCAATAAGATGTAATTGATGATGAACTTTAAATTTCTCTTTATGTCTTTTGGATTTTAGTTTTGTTGAAGATTTGATCTGTTTTTGTGTTTATCTGTTTCAAAGGTTGTGTTTTTTTGGGTTGGGTTTCGGGTTATATCGATCTAACCGGATTCAATTAAAAAAAAAAAACTAAAAAGGTTAAAAAGTAAAAAAAAAATTAATAATATAAAATTATTAATTAATTAAAAGAGTTAATTTAATTTATGATGATTTAAGTTAATTAATTTTAATTAAAATAAATTAATCATATTTATTGAGTTTGATTGAGATGATTAGATTTATTTAGTTATCTCAATTAATGATTAGTAAATATGATTAATTAATTTTAATTAATTTTGATTAATGTTAAGTTAATTATTTAATTAGATTAATTCTCTTGATTAATTAATTTTTAATTTTCAATTAACTTTAATCTTGATCAAAGTCAAAGTTATCTTTTATTTTATCTCAATTTCACCCACAATTTTTATGATTAAGCAATTCAGTCCCAAAGTTTCAAATCTTTTTAAATCAGTCCTTCATGTTTTCGAATGTAATCAAATTAGTCCCTTTAATTTTATTTGTGCTTAGGATGCATGCTTGTCTTTGATTTTGTCCATTTTAGTCTAAAAATTTAAAAATGTCACAATTTGGTCTATCCCTTTTCCAGACTTGCCTATTAAGACTCAAACATAAACATGATGAATAAGTTGAATCAAAACCCCCAATGTTAAAGTATGCAACCATGTTTAAACGGAGGATTGTGAGGTGCGCGTATGCCCTTCCTCACTCCTAACCGAACCCCCGAACCCCAATCTCTGCGCAGACCCGTTTTAGGTGACTTGTCTCACCTTATAATTTGGACAAGTGGCGACTCCCTTTTTCTTTTATATTTTACACTTAATTTTTCATTGTTTTGAAAAATCTTAAGTGGTCGTCAACAATTTGAAGAACGCATTAGACATCCAAGCAAGGTACATATTTTGCTATGACTTAGGTATTGTCTCATTTTCAAATTTGCATGGTAGATCACAATATAAATTATTATTATTATTATTATTATTAATTTAAAAAAAATTAATGTGGTTTTAAAAATAAAAATAACAAGATATTACATCATGCATGCATGGCATGGTTGATAATATTATTTAAATGATTACTTCATTGGTGCATAAGGTTCGAAAAGGTTTTTAACCATAAAAAAAAAAAAAAAAGTCTAAAGACTCTAAACCATTAATTATAATTTGTTAGGAATGATAAGAAGATATAAATCAAGAAATTA